AGATATCTCATGACAAGTTGGGACAATAACTATGCCTTTGCAAGATTTTGGAGCGTCAACCGTGATACAGAAGGAATGGTGGAATTGCCTAAACCTCGTGGATGCTTCTCGATTTTTCGTTTCACATGACAATATGAATTTTATTCATTTTATCGCATACATCTTGTTTGACATTTGATTTATTGTTAAAAAAAGATTGAAAGGAAAATTGTTTATTTTTTAAAACTGTTCAATGACGTGTTGCCACATTACAAAGTGTAAAACATAATGTCAACAATGATGTACATGTAGCATGATTGCAATTTTAATTCCACATATATATGCCACGTGGTTTCACATTTTCATGTCTTTGCTAATAAATTTGAGACTTTTGTTTGATTGTGCTGTCATTGATAGGGCTGTTATCGAATTCCTGATGGTATGCTAAAGGATGATAATTTTTGTTTTATTTTGAGCGAATAAAAATTAAAGAGGGCCGCAGATAAAATTGTATAGCTTTAACTATAAGTCCATCTTTGGTGAAAATTAAAATCGGATTATTAGTAAGTTTTGATAAAAATTGATAAAATGTGGGGTTAAAAAGTTATGAATCTAAAAAAATATGTGATTAAAATTAATTGTTGACTTTGATTTCACGCCGAGAAACCTTTAATTCAAAATATTTATGCAATCTATTTTGAAATATTACATGATAAGCTTCTCAATCAGTAAATATTTATGATTTTGCATGATAAGCTTTTTTGAGTTCAAGGAATGTACAAGGAGTTGTAAGTACAAAAAAAATGAAGAAATTGATATAGTGCAGACATGTATGTTTAGGGCCCGTCTGATTCTCATTATTATAGAATGAGAATGAAAAATATAGTCGTTATTGAATCCCACACAAGAGATAGAAACTCAAAATTGATGGCTTAATGTGATGGATAACAGTCATATTTTTCATTTTTATGGATGAAAAATGAGAAATAAACTAGGGCTTACTTTTATAAAATGATTAATTATGTGATATAAATCTCTATAGCTTGATTCTTATGTACCCTCAAATATAATTTTCTAAGGGTGTGTTTGAGCCAAATTATTTTGGAAGAATGTATTTTTGAATAGTAGATTGATGGAGAATGTGTGGTTGACAAAAAATGAAAAAATATTAATGTGATGAAAAATATTATTTTATTAAAACATGTGTGATCGAAAATAAATAGAAAAATGAGAATGAAAATTTTAAATCTCCCTTGAACAGGGGCTTAATCTGAAAGGATGTAATCAAGCAATTTCAAGAAGTTGTAACCACGCTCTATACTAGTAGTCGACACGAATATCGGATACTAAGATCCTGCCACGTGGTGTTAAGAATAAAAAGGCCAAAACAGGTGGGGGACCTGTTACATGAGCCTCTAAAAAGACAGCCTGCTGCGTGTTGTGTTTTTATTCGTCCACGTAACTAACATTAATTCTACCTTACAACGTGGTGCATTTCTATCATGGGTGATGGAAATTAGACGGTTAAGATTCCTTCCTCTGGCATACAGCTTTTTACGTCACATCAACCCAACGGTTCCCCACCTCACTACCTGTCCTTTTCAACTATAAGGTGGTTAGTTGATTTGTCTTCCGATTTTCGTATCTCGTCTTAATTTGTACTTTTAGCTCTCTTATTATTATTTTCCCGTGTCTTCAGAACTGGGCTTCAGTATTCCCTTTGAATTTACGAGGTTTTGATCCGATAAGAAGTGTTTCCTTGATTAGATTTATTTGGGATTAAGGAAAAATCATGGCTGGTATGTGTTGTGGAGTAAAAATTGGTGAGAGTGAGACTGCTGCACCCGTTGAGCCAAGTTCAAAATCCGCCAGGAGAAAAAGGATGGGATGTCAACAATACAATATTGTACCTAGCGACACCGTGGTGGCGCCGTCGCTGGAGAACGGCAAAAAGAAGAGGCTAAAGGTAGAGGTGGTTGTTCCGGCGGCGTCTCTGCCGCGGGAGTGCGAAAACTCGGTTGAGAATTTTCAAGTGGAGCAGGAAGAACCTGTGTCACCATCGTTTACAAGAATCAAAACCGATGTCTTTACGGAATTTCCGGAATTTGGCACGACTTCTGTTTGTGGAAGAAGAAGAGATATGGAAGATGCAGTTGCAATTCACCCATCTTTTTGCGGCCAAAGCGATAATATTCCTAGCAGGATACATTTTTTTGGAGTATACGACGGCCATGGCTGCTCACATGTATATAATCTTTGTTTATTTATACATCATTAACTTAAAAGCTCAGTTTTTACTCTAAGGATTAAACTTGATCTGGGTTTTTTTTAGGTGGCTATGAAGTGCAAGGACCGGATGCACGAAATAGTAAAAGACGAGGTAAAATCCGGCGAGACATCATGGAAAGAATTAATGTTCAAAAGTTTTTCGAAGATGGACCAGGAAATCACGGAATGGTCCGGCGAAGCCACTTATAATTGCAGATGTGGACTTCAGACCCCTTGGTCTGACACCGTCGGATCCACCGCCGTCGTGGCGGTGGTTACCCCGGAGAAGATAATTGTTTCCAATTGTGGTGATTCTCGCGCTGTTCTTTGCAGAAACGGTGTCGCAATTCCCCTTTCTGTAGATCATAAGGTAGGTTAAAGTCAAAATTGCTGATCGGTGATTTTGTTCGATAATTTTGATTTGAAATTTAAGAAATTGTTGATTTTATGCAGCCGGACCGGCCTGATGAGCTTATTCGGATAGAAGAATCCGGTGGCCGTGTCATATTTTGGGACGGGGCAAGAGTTCTTGGAGTCTTAGCAATGTCTCGTGCCATTGGTAAATTCTCAAACCAAACAATCTAGTGAAGATCTAGTCAATTCCATGATTACAAGTTGGATCTAATTAACTTTTGGATTTTTTTTTCAGGTGATGGTTACTTAAAGCCATACGTGATATCGGAGCCGGAGGTGACCATAACGGAGCGGATGGAGGAGGATGAGTGTTTGATTCTGGCGAGTGATGGGCTATGGGATGTTGTATCTAACGAGACCGCGTGCAGGGTGGCGCGTATGTGCCTTCAATCCCGGAAACCACCATCGCTGCCTAGGTCGTCGGGAAATGACATCAAGGTGACGGACTCCGGTCAGAGCTCCGATAAGTCTTGCTCCGATGCTTCTATTCTGTTGACCAAACTGGCTTTGGCGCGACACAGCACCGATAACGTCAGTGTTGTGGTGGTTGATTTGAGGAGGGACTTGTAGCAGGAAAAATGCTATTCGGGGTGGTAGCTTCAATCCGTGTAGATGTAAATGATTAATTCAATGATAGGTGAAATTAAATGACTTATTTAATTTTACCTATAATTTAATGACACATTAACACTACATAGACTGATGAATAGCATTTCTCCTTGTAGCAATCATTTTATTTTATTTTTTTCCTTATTTTTTCTTTTTTCCTAATATTCCAAGAATGCTACACGTGCCAGATCGAGGAGTTAATTTAATATTGAAATGTTTATTTTAGTTAAAAAAATGATTGAAATTTAAATTAATGTGAATAATTAATTTTAGCTAAATATTTTTTGGAACCTGTAATATTTATTAAATTTTCCATCAAATATTTTATCGATAAATTATTAAAATTATGATTTTTTTAGCAAAATCAGCTTAATATCGAAGAGTTAATAAAAGAAAAATAGTGTACACATGAATATAATTAAACATTTGTTGTTAACGAATAATGAAAGGAAATGGGTTGGTTACGATGTATTTGAATTAGTTGAACTAACTCGTGACATTTGATCTCCGCATTCACCTGCTCCACCAACTCGACCACCCCAAAGGGGTATATATATTCTATACAGTTTTGTGTATATGTATGCATGTATATACGAGTGGTGAACATTTTTGCTTGAAATATGGATCGACGAAACAAAGGCAAATCTTTTGTAACATTTGTTGTTGCTTGACGAAAAATGTAGCAACGAAGTTGGAGTTAGCGATATCATAGGCTTGTAATAGACTAGGCAGTGATAGGTTCATCTTCAGAATATATTCATGAATCAAGCATAATGTTTGCGGCTCGACTAACAAGTTTCTATACTAATGACTGCTTGCAATCCGTGATAAAAAATATTCCCTAATCAAACCATAATGGTTCAATCGAGGTATTATGCAAACCATATATATTCATATTTACATACAAGATATTATCCTATTCTTGCTTGCACGTCGCTGAAATTTAAAAATGTCGAAGCTTGATCGATGATTTTGTTGAAGATAATTACACAAATTAAAAAATGAGATTACGGTTTAAGTAGGCAATACAAGAAAGGATTAAATGAAAGGATAATGCTGTTTGAACATGATCTACGTGGCCGTGTTCATGTAGTGCCTTCCTAAATGAAATGAATGTTAGAAGATGAGGTCAACATTGATGTGTACCATTTGCATTTTAAAAATTATTTAATTTGACTTATTTTTTATGTCTTCAATCCTTATTTGAGACATATTATTTTTTTTAATTCTCATTTTTCTACTCATTTTCAACCACATATTTTTTAATAAAAAATTCATATGTAATTTTTTTTTTTTAAGTATTAGCCAGGTCTGTAATCCGATCCTGATTCCGTCCTTGCTTCATGCTCATAACTTCTACAAATTTCTCTTAGACAATTGAGTTACTGGAAGAGATAGAAATAGAATAAAGAGAGAATTTTAAGATAGAGTTTAATTCAAATTATTTTTGTTTAAATTAGATTATATTAGTTCAATATGTTGATAAAGTTCTGATTAATTAGTTCTATTAATTTTATATTATTTTCGATATGGAGACAGCTTATTCATTTGTAATTTGTACCGTCTGTGTTTATGAATAACATTATTTCATCTTTGTCCTAATTTCTTCTCTTCTTTGATCATATTTCTTTCTTGTTCATTATCAAATTGTTACGTCTCTACATTAATTTAGTATTAGAACAAATCGTTTTCTTTTGACCTAACAAATTTCGTTTTCAAGTTCAAAAATCAAGATCTCGTTCAGCTGTTTGCATCGAATCCATACACATCAGCTTCCACAACTCATAAACCCAAGGACAATAGCAGCACGAAAACAATTTTTCATTAAGAAGTTTTTGTTTCGATAGAGTTTTAAGGAAAAATAGTAGAGTTTCTATAGATTGTTCTTTGTTAGTTTAAAAAAAAAAAAAAACAGTCAGTACATCTGTTGCTAATTTCTGTTATTAGATTTAAAAAAAATTGCAGAAGTATAGTTCGTAAAAGTTGCTGCTCCATATTGGGGAACTTACAAAAATATTCTTAAAATTAAGGGCGTTTTGAAAAATCATATGAAACATATTTTGGAAGTAAAAAATATTGTGTAAAATTAATTCACTTTTTTTTATTGAAAATGTGGCACAATAAAAAAAAGTGACATACAATGTCACTTTTATTTAAAAAAAAAAAAGATGTTTATCACTCAAAAAAGTGATAGAACTTTCAAAGAATTGACAAAAAAAAAAAAAAAAATTAGAAAAAGTGAAAAAAAATTAATAAATAGTGAAAAACACTAAAAAATAAGTGACATAAATTTAAAAAAGTGACAAACTGACAATTTTCAAGTTGGAGTAACACAATTGAGTTATTATTTGCCCGGTTGAGGCATGACAAAATATCTTGTCACTTTTCTAGAAGTCCAAAATAAACATCTTCGTAGCACTTCCAAAACATCTCATTTTTTTCATGAACCTCAATGGATTTATTGGCGAAAATAAATATAAAAAAGTGACATAAATTTAAAAAAAGGTCGTAGTATGCTGATTTGTGTGAGAAACAAAAGATTTTTGAGGTTATTATTTTTTCTAGTGAGATACCTATTTAAAAACTTCTTTCATCTAGAACACTCTCATGCCAATTTAAAAAAAGTGACATGAGTTCACATTGTATTCTTCTTAGAGAACATTCTACAAACACCATGGATACACTAAATCTTTTTTCCAATAAATTAGAATACAACAAAGTATAAAGAGCACCCGCCCTAGTGTTTTCCACCTATCTTCGATCGCAAAATCTGGAGATGTAATGGGTTTTTTGGATTCGGATTTTTTCAGTTCATGCCATTTGTGTAATAAAAAACTCCATGGAAAAGACATATACATGTACTGGTAAAATTCAAGTGCAATTTTTTTTTTGTGTAAAATTCATTTTATAGACCAAGAAAGATTCTTCAAAATAATATTGATCCACGATTTGCAGGAGAGAAAAAACATTCTGCAGCACAGAGTGTAGATATAAGCAAATAGTGACAGACGATTTACAGTTGGATTTGCTCCAATTTTGCTCGTAACTTCGCTTATGGAGATTTGGGGCCACGAATGGGAGATGAAACGTTTCTGAGGAGGAAGGGGGGGATTACATGGTTTGGGCTTGTTGTAGTTAATCAGGTTGGGTTTTGGTTGGAGTTAATTAGGTGGTTTAGGACGTATTTAATACTTTCTTAAAATGTTTAATTAGTTTAAGAGTATTAATCAAAATACTTTAAAAAAAAAGGGGTATATGGCCTAATTTTCCCTTCAAATTAAATCCAAACCCTATACTCCAATGTCAATCCAAGCCCAATCGAACAAATAATTTCACCCCTCAAACCAACAATAAATCAGTCTATTCACCTACATACCCTAGCCCATTACCAATACAACAACTCCCAAATTTCATACTCCATATATCACAGCCCAACATAATCCAAGCCCAACAGTTCATTATTTCACACCATTATTCTACGTGCTAAATTACATAGAACCAGATTTTTCAAGTTTCAATTTCAAAAATCAGATTTAAAGTATGTTTTTAAAAAAAGAAGAAGATAATAATACCGTATTTTAATTTAATAATAATATTATAAAATTAAATTAATCTATATACTCCACCCCTACGCCTTTCCACATTTTTTCCTCGGCTTTGACACTCCCTATGTGTAGGAAATTTGGCTATTGATTGAAAAGAGTATTGTTAAATTCAATACATAAAAAAAGGGATAAAACATATTATGTCAAACTTGATGTACATATAGAAAGATTGATTTTCCAAACCCTAATCATTTTTTACCCCTCTCTCTCTCTCTCTCTCTCTCTCTCTCTCTCTCNTTATACGCAAGTAGGCGCGCCTTATGTGCCTGTTTGAAATCTTTTTTTTGGGTGAATGTGTATGTTTATTTTTATATAAAAAAATTATTTTTTTAATACAAAAATCTATTTATTATATTTAAAATAATATTAAAAGTACGAAATACATTATGATGCCTATTCTCGGCATTGACATGTTTAAACTTGTAATTCTTGATTCTCGAGTTCAACGCATCGCAACTCATTACGCCTTTTAGAACACAGATCTTTACCATAAACTACCATCGGAGCTAGGGATGACAAAAAAATCCAACAAACTCGATACCGCGGGGTCCCGCCCCAAATGGGAAGGGAAAACCCGCTTAAACGGGTAACGGGACGGGGACGGGTAACAGGGCCCACACCTTGCCTCGTTAAATTTTTTTTTTTTTTTAGAATTCAATACTTTAAATGAAAATTTTCATTAGTTCTAATAGAAAATAGTAACTAAAATTATTTGTCTAAATCTAATGAATATGGGAAATAAAAATAAATTATAAAAAAAAAAATTTAATAAGGAATAAACGAGGAAATGATCCACCCCCGCCGCCACGCCTTACCTTAAACTGGTAATGGGGAGGGGACGGGGAATTTCTTAGCGGGCCAGAGAAAGGGAGGCCCGCCCCTCCCCTTTGCCATCCCTAGTTGGAGCACTATCGGCGCTGGGCTCATGACAACTCCAGTCGATCAACATCTTCGATCTGTGATCACCTAAAGAAAAAGAAAGCATTGACACGTAGCTACACACAGTGCCGCGAGAGTCAACATTGTTGTTGTTTGAACCTCGCCTCTATTCTTGAGAGGTGGTGGTGCCATTGTTTGGACCTCGCCATAGTTCGAAAGGCTCACCTCATTGGTGTTCGCAGTAGCGTCAAGCTATAGTGGTTTGGCTGTCTATTTTTGTTTGCCTGATGTTTGAGTTTTTTATTTTGGTTTTAGTTTTGGCTTTGGTGTTGGTGGTGGCGACGATAGTAGTGGTTGTGATGGTGTTGGTGTCGTTGGCAGCAGCGACTGTGGGGGCAGTGGTGGTTTTGTAGTTGGAAATGGTGGTTGTGGTAATTAGGTGGTGATTTTGAAGTTGAAAATGATAGTTTGTTGGAG